ACCCACCCCACCCCCACCTAACCCCACCCCCCAGAGAGGTGAGAGCTTTCAGTCTAAGTCCCGTCTTTTATTCTTAAGACAATGGCTCCACCCGGAGCAGGGACCTAAATAGGAATCTGCCACCTCCCCGGTCACCTGGGAGAGAGGATTTCCCCAGTCAAACCCCTTCTAAAGGGGCAGAGGTAGGATTCGAACTAGGAAATCCAAGGATCTCCCACCTTCTAGGCAAGCACGCAACCACCGGGCTACAGAGTGATCTTAAAGCTAGGGCTGCCTCAGGCCATACTTAAGTAAAGGGGAGCAGCGCCAACAGGAAAGATTGACAGAGCTTCCTGTTCACAAAGAGAGCACCTTCCTCAGGGAGGCGAGGGCTCGAACCATGCACCTGAGCCTCAAAGGCAACTGCTGTGACCACTACGCTACTGGGCGCTCCTTGTACTAGGGGCTCTTTTTGGCCCAATAAACAGATAATTCACATGGACCAGCTTTAATAGGGAAGTCTCCAAGCTCCCAGTGCTCAGAGTCTAGCTCACACAGTCTAGGAAGGACTAGAACCCAGCACGCCACAGCAGAAGCACTTTCACTAGCCCCTGCGCTACAGTGAGCCTCTTGCCTCAGTTCTGTGCTTTGGCCCAGTTAATAGTTAATTGAAGGGAAAGGGGTTCAAGAGGAAAAGAGCACACATGCCTGCTGTTCAACTCTTTTTGTCATAGCTAGCAAACAGGAGCCTTGAACCAGGCTCTCTAATAACGCAGGTAAGCACCCTAACCACTGCCCTACAGAGGGCTGTCTACAATAAGGCTTTACTTTAGCCCAATTAACTGATACTTAAAGTGGACCATCTTTAACAGAAACACAGCAGCATTGTCACTGGCCACTTCCTGGGAGCCCCAGAGAAGAAGCAAAATGGCTAATCAGATGTTGCCACTGTGCTTAGCCGCCTGTTCCTTGAGACAGGGTTGTTAGCCAGTCATCAGGGCAGGGAAATGAGACACAAAACCAGCGTCCCCTGTAAGCTGAGCACTTGGACAGCCGCGCAGGAGAGATTTAAGTCTCCCCCGCTGATTAGCAGAGTGGCCACAACTGCCCAGAGCCTGTGTTTCTCCTGGGAGTTCACAACTGCACACACGTGCTCAGCCTTTCCGGACGACTGTGCCCCTTTCAGGAGTCTGCTTGTCTTGTGTAGCCCCAAGATTTACCTCATTTATAAAACCTAGTTCTTCCCATACAGCCCCCCACACACCCCACAGGCACAGAAAGACGGCCGACTGTCTCGTGTTTACCACAGAATTACACAGTGCATTGGTTGGGGTACACTTGTACTTCCAAAGTATCAGAGCCAGCCAGGGCTGGAAGAGACCTCCGGAGATCATCTAGGCAATCCCCACATTTCAGTACAATTAATTATGCTACTGGAGTCTGTTTCCCACTTCTGCCTTCCCAAACCCTGCCCCCCAGGGCTGAAGCCTGTAACTTCACCTCACGGGGCTCCCCTGTGGTCTAGGGATCTGCACCTCTGCCCTTCTTGCCAGCCTTGCATTTCCAAACCCCCCAAACCTGTCCCATAATCCCATGGGGGCTGCAGTCCCCAGACTGAGAAACACTGGAATAGATGACATAGCCCCTGAAAGCCCTCTGCGTACCCCCAAGAGAGCATGTGTCCTGGTTCAGAACCATCCTCTCAGACATCACCAACCCTTCGCTATTCGTAGTCCAAGGAAATCAGCAGAACCCTTTGGAGACAACAGGCTCATACACGCTGTCTTCTTACTTCAGCACAGCTAGGTCAGGCCAGGAGTAGACCCCAGGAGTTTGTCCAAATTTCCCTCTAATTTTTTCCATCCATAGGGGGAATGAATACAGTGAGTTATGTGCACCGAGGCAGAGCTTGGGGCAGAAGCAGTAAAGCACGTGTTTCTTAAGCAAGAAAGCGCCTCACTTGAAATAAAGCACAAGACTGCTGATCGTGTAATAGAAGGGTGGATAATCTGTGGGAAGTAACAGCTTTCCATGACACTAGGATGGCTGTGGTAATTTGCCCCAAACATTTGAAATGTATTGAGACCTTTTTCTACCCTGTCTTTCGACTGCATCGCCAATGGACCCCTCCCCCCTTCTCCTTGCTTACAATTGGGGGAGGCCAGAGATTAGCCATGGTACCAGTAATTACAATCCCAGTGCCTCCATGATGATGAATGTTTTTCGGATATTGTTGATCTGTTTCTTCCAGGAACAGGTATCATCCACTTTGTTGCGGCCCATTTTCTCCAGAGCTGAAGCAGGGAATTCTGCTAGGAAGCAAGGAAAAGTGGTCAGCTCTGCACAGTAGAAGGGTAAAACTTAAACCACTGCAAAGTACCTATTTGCTTGGATTCTCCTTTGGAGGTTTTTGAACATTTCCTTTTGGGTCTGTTGAAGCCAAGATGCAAGGAAGTCAATTTTCCAATCAAAATCATGTGACATATCATGTGACAAATCACGTGACTGCCACATATCATGGTGAAAGCATTTTACCCACAATTCCCAGTACAAAAATGCAAGTGCAAAGGAAAAGAAAACTGTTTTTCTGAGAATTTAACACAAACTAATCACTCTCCTTGAAAATCACCCAGTGCACGCCACCCACAGTCCCTAAGCAGAAGGAAAAACTATGTAGAACTTTAAAGACTAACAAGATGGTTTAATAGGTGATGAGCTTTCACCTAGTAAACCATCTTGTTAGTCTTTGATCTTGCTAAAACAAAAGGAAAAACTGTGTAGCACTTTAGACTAACATGGCTAGTCCCTAAGCAGATGAGACTTCAAGGTCTATTGGCTCTTACATAGCAAAATGCATCAGATGCCAGACGTGTATTATAGCTAATATTAGGCAGCTTGGCTAGCAATCTAGCACTCAGAGAGTGGGACTTGTCATTTGGGGATATTCATTTAGTGACAAATGTGCAAGATTGTCAATTACTACTGTTGCTATTTTGCTGAATATTCAGGGGCTATAAAGTTGTGATTATGTGCCTGCATGGCTGCTAATGCTACCCTATTAAAGCACCCTTGAGTTAATAGCTTAAAATTAGATGTGACCGAAGGCGCAGGTTATATTAGAGTTGCTTAGTTGCTTGCATATTGAGCTAGGTTTAATCACTGGTGTTGACGCAGAAGAAATTTACTGACCAGTGTGCTGCTCTAGCTAGTAGTATATCCTGGATCTCTTCTTTGGTTTTTTTCTTCCTAGGAGTATAAGCCGACCCGAATATAAGCCGAGGCACCTAATTTTACCCCAAAGAACTGGGAAAAAATATTGACTCGAGTATAAGCCTAGGGTAGGAAATGAGGCAGCTACTGGTAAATGTAAAAAATGAAGATAGATACCAATAAAATTACATGAATATTTATTTCAAAGAAAAACAATAACCTAGCTCTGTAAGTGGAAAAGGGGGTCAACAAAAACAATATGGTATCAAAAATACCGTAACTTTAAAAGTACAACAACCTTAGCTCAATCAGCAACCAAGCTCAATCAGCTCCCCATAGCTCTTTTCCTCAGGTGTCCCGGCTTCCTAGCTGTTTTCGTGTTTTTAGCTGAGGGAAACTTGCAGATGGCAACTCCCTCTCCACATATACCATTCCCCCGACACAGAGGATAAAATATTTCCACAATCCCTGGGCAGATCCTGCTTTCCATAAGGATTTTATCCTTTCCATTCAGGCCCCTTACCTTATCTCTTCTCTTCAGCCTGCGCCGAGCCGCGCTTCTGCCTCCGGACCCGCCCCCTGCCCACAGCACAGTGACAAGCCAATCACTGGCAGTCACTGTGCAGCCAACAAGCCTATGTATGTGCGCTGTTCATCGCACATACATAGAGCTTTCAGACCTCAGAAATTGACACGAGATACTTTGATGATGAATTTACAGCGCAGTCCATAACAATAACACCTCCTGACAGATACGACAACCTGGATGCCTTAGAACCTGACCAGCGTACTCACTTTCCTCAGTTCTCGAGACGCTGACTCGAGTATAAGCCGAGGGGGGCATTTTTCAGCACAAAAATGTGCTGAAAAACTCAGCTTATACTCGAGTATATACGGTAATCCTTTTTAGCCTTAAAATCTATGAAGTTCTGTTGTACTCTGGCTACACTAGTTACTGTAATAAAATATACTAACCATTAAGAAAGCAAACTACAATTAAAATACATGTTCTGTCTATTATATATACGTATTATGTCTATATCATTTTCATTAAAATCTTGCCACATTGATAGTCTAGCAGCACTTTGTTTCCTTGTTTATATGGATATTAGAATTTTGTTACTACAGGATACTTTAGAGCTGTAAAGTTTTAATTGACTCTGCTTTATGTAAATCTTCAGCCTCTGTCATTATGGGTTCACTCTGACTCAGTCTCTAGACCTTCACTCTGATTAGAGCTACTCAGAAAAAGATTTTTCCCCACATAAAAAAAATCTCAATGAAATTTCAATGTGAACATTCAAGTTCATAAAAAATTGGCAGGAGGTGGTCAAAACTTTTCTCCAAAATAACTACATTTCTCAGGTTTTCATTTTTTTAGGAAAGCCTGAAAATGTTTGGTAAAAACAGAAAATAATAATAATAAAAAAGTTGACATCATGTGTTTTCAGTAGCTCTAGCTTTCAGTTCTATGTTTGAATGAATTCAGAATCTCTGATCAAAACTCAGTACAGGCAGTCCCCGACTTATGCGGATCCGACTTATGTCGGATCCGCACTTACGAACGGGGCTTTCTCGCTCCGGAAGTCGGGGCGAGAAAGCCCCGTTCGTAAGCTGCTCCGGTGCCCCTGGTCTGCTGGAGACCGTCTCCAGCAGACCAGGGGCACC